ATGCGGTTGATTAAGTCCGGTGTATATTTAGTAACCAATTTGGGAAGCTGCATAAATTGAGTGAGCAAATCGACATGTGAATTCGAGAAACCAAATAGTTCATCCCTCGACTCCACACTTGTGGCACGTTTTACGTTTTCTCCTAAGGCACAACCTCCTTCGACAAGATCGTACAAATGTGCGGAGGTGCCCATGGAAGAGGCGACCGCGCGATTGTGACTTTGTAGGGTGGCTTAAATTTTCCGCGTCCATGATATCATCGGACTCGTGTTGTCAAGTGTTCATGTAGCCGCATTAGCATTCAAAAGCTGGAATTTAGACTAGGAGTACCCGAAAGAGCTACGTGGTCTTGCTCTGCTTGGCGATGGCATTGATGCTTGACGCCAGAAGGAACACTATGCGATGTGTGTTGACAGTGAAAAGCTACTTACACCCACAACGCAGCCGTGATACTGCAACAGTAATCCATCCTGTTTCTTTTGTTTCTCCTCTACACGCACCGCTTCCAGACGTCGATGTGCTTATTCCAGCTCTTGTGTGCACAAGAGCTGTCAACTTTTAAGGTGCTCCGACAACTGAGATCTTCATTCGCGAGTGGCCTTATTTTCTATCAACACTCACAATGAATCTTCCAAGTCTCGTCAGGCAAACGACCTTTGCTCCGAAATGGAGTCAACAGTGCGTCGACCACCAGACCACGACCTAGTTTCAGCCAGGTGTTCCATTGCCTAAATGCACTGTACCCAACTCCTATTTTGCTCTTCGTTCTCGATCTCTAAAGTGCTCTCTCGATCTCCCCATACTACAAACTACAAAACATGCAGTAGTCATAAAGCAGAGACTTCCAAGTACTACTTCACACCTACCAAGTCACACTTTTGACTACCAGCACCTCTGACAACCCGCTTTTCGGAACCAAAATGACGACGACGCGGCCCTTCATGTTTGCCATGCTGTGCGCCAACAACGTGAACCGCAGCACCGAGGCGCACGACCATCTGCACGCCACCGGGCTGCGCGTGTGCTCCTTCGGCGCCGGCAATCGCGTCCGTTTCCCCGGTCCCTCGCGCGACGACCCGCGCATCTACGAGTTCGCCACACCCTACGCGACCATGTACCGGGAGCTCCAGGGCGAGAACGGGGAGCTGTGCGTGCCTTTGCTCTTGCTCGTGCCTTCAAGTGGGGCCGTCCAGACATGGCTACATTCGAGCGTAGACGTGGTCGAGGCCCGAGGGCAGCGCCTCGTCTCGATTGTCGACGGCTTCTGACCGCTGCTCTAATGTCCGTTCCCCCCCCCACAGGTTCAAGCGGAACGGAGTGCTGGCCATGCTCGAGCGAGACATGCTGACCAAGCCGTGTCCGCAGCGGTGGCAGGACCTCAGTGTGAAGGAGCTCCAGGGACTGGACGTTGTGCTCTGCTTTGACGACCGCATCTTCGAGATCGTGCTGGAAGATCTGCAGCTTCGAGGAGCTGCGGGAGGCCCTGGCGGACCTGGGAACGAGCCCACGACGGCCTGGCGACCGCTCCATGTGCTCTGTCTGGACACGAAAGACACGCCCGAGCACGCCAAAGTGGGTGGGTCCTTGGCGCTGGAGCTTTGCCAAGCGGTACGTCTGTCGGTTATTTGCTCAGTTGTCAAGTTGAAGTGTGCGAATCATCGACTGATGGTGAAGTTGCTGCTGTCATTCTAGATTGACAAGCTGAACAGTCTTGACGACGGCATCATGGACGTCATTCTGGACTTTGAGAGTCGAAAAGACATGTACTTGCTCTACTCGCTGATGCACGTGTAGCTCTTGGGTGAAGCTGGAAATGGTTAAAATTGTCTGAACCCCTGACTATTCCACAGCTTCAGTTTTTCCACTTGTTAATGATCGATTGACTTGCCTGCGCTTGCTGACTCCAACGACCGAAATCAAAGCGTGACTGCGAAGGCGTATCGGACTGCTCTTCTGCGTGTTGGCTTTGCAGACCCTGGCGATAATCGTCCATGATATCCAGATTATCATCATCATCGTCTTGGCGCTGGGACGTTGACGTTGAAGAAAGTGGTTGTTGTCGTCGTTGACTCCATGGAACGTAACGAGAACCAGGACTCTTGCATCGCTGTTTGCGCTGAATGTGAGTATTCTCGATTTGCTGTGGCCTTCCTGGCAATAACCTCTTTCCTGCGGGTACTTGTCGCTCTTCTGCCCCAGCAAGATTCAGACAGTCTGCATCTACTTCATTGCTGACGGCATTCAGTTCAAGTTCGTTACCAAACGGAGAGTAGCTGGTGTCGGGATGAGACATTTGCGGCCTCGAAGACTGCTTCGCAAAGGCTGGTGGCTGGGACGCAGTTGATTCAAATTGGCTACCGTGTGCCGTGCTGAATTCATGCAGTCCGAGGTAGTCGAGAACGAGTTTCTCTTGGAGCATGTACTCTCCTTGTGGATCATCCGAAAAGTCAGAGTGCAAGACCGACTCTACACCTCCTTCCAGCATATCCGAGCAATTGTCCGTGGACTTGCTCACTTCCATGATGAAGACAGCAACCACTGCGTCCGTCACAGCTACTTCCGAGTGACACATCAGTCGTGCATGGGCCTGTGCCAGTCTTGTAAGGCTCTCCAGAAGTCGGATTGTTGTACGAGCGGCACTGCGGCTGTCAGATGCGCGCTGTCGTTGATAATAGCGCTGCAGTATCGTCATCGCAGAACGACTCAGTTGAGGCTGGTACCCGTCCTTGACGTGACATATATACGCCTGAAGTGTTTGGATACTCCACACTGACGAATCTTCTGCTGAGGCTGACAGGCATGGTGCTGTTTGCTCCACCGCATTATCAAATGCTGACTCGTTCTCGTTGCGCTCGGCTTCTTCTTTCATACTCGTGCTGGTCCCAACTGCCTGTTTGAGGATAAAGGAGGAGATCACTTGGTCCCAACGCGAGTTCATTCGATCCAGCAGTACGAGGATCAGATCAAAGCGACTGAGTAACGGGCTGGCGAGACTGGTGTTCACAGACACGTCCCTGGTCGGGACATACCGGCCTCTTGGGTTCGTCACGGCGAATATTGTAGTTCGTGCGTTGAGCTTGCACACTAGACCAGCCTTGGCCACGCTCAGTGTCTGCTGCTCCATGGCTTCATGAATGGACGTGCGATCGTTACTACGGATACTACTGAACTCGTCGATGCAGCACACGCCACGATCTGCCAGCACCAACGCACCAGCCTCCAGCATCCACTCACCGCCATCCTTCACGGCTGTACAGGTCAGACCAGCGCTTGTCGTGCCGATGCCTGTCGTGAGCACAGAGCGGGGACTCAGCTCAGCGGTAAAACGAAGGAACTGCGATTTCCCGGTGCCAGGATCGCCAACTAACAGCATATGTGATTCGCCCCGCGTCTTCATGCCTGACTCATCCACGTAAGAGACACCTCCAGTCACGGTGAGCGCCACCGCTAGTTTCACGACAAATAAGCCGTAGACCTTGGGACAAATGCTAGCAATGATCTCGTTGCGTCCTCGCATTGGATCCTGCTTGTGCTTTGCCCAAAACTGCGCAAACTCTGCCCTCAGCTCTTCTGTGACGAGAACTTGAGACGTTGATGCATTTTTGATGCGGATGCTGTTTGCCTTGATCGTCGTCTCCAGGTCACAACGCACTCCTCTCACACACGGTTTCCACGTGCGCATGAGAATGCCCACAACAACCACCTGATCGCCAGCCTTTACAGAGTCCACTAAGTCGTCCTCCAACACAACCAACATTGACCTTGGAATGGAGCCAACGCCTAGCTTCGACGCCTGCTCTTGGATTTTTATCACCTGGTGATCTGACACTACGCTGCCATCAGCGCCACCAAGAGGCAGGAACTGCGTCGACTTGCACGGTTTTTTGCCGCCACTGCTCTTGTCTCCAGTGCTGCCGGAAGGACACACTTTCTGCATCAGCCACAACCTCAGAACAGTTAGCCACGTCCGTCTTCCACAGCGTCCAACACACAAGCAGAAACATAGCAGCCGTCTCCTTCTGTTCTCGTACCGGGATCTCCATCACATTGCCTTGTTCCGGGTCCGACTTGACCAAGAACCGGTGTCCGCACCGCACGTTGCAGCACTGGTACTCTCTTTCCACCTCCTGCATCTTCATCTAGACAAGATAAAGACAGACGACAGATCATGATAAGCAGACACACAGTCAGTCAAACCGTCTAGCATCCTAACACGACGTAGCAGTAACAACACTAGCAACAACAACAACAACAACAACAGCAGCAGCACTAGCAACAACAACAGCAGCAGCAGCAGCAGTGGCTTCTTGTATCGTACCACTCCCGTCCTCACCACCGTGCCTGCAATCTGGACCAGCTGCTTCACGTCGTTCGACCGAATGGCACTGATGGACGATTTCTGCAGTGGCGCCACAGGCGGCAAGTGCTCGACTCGCACCTTGAGACGGCGTCGGACCTTGAGGGGAATCACCGGGAGCTCTCCACGCTCCAGCAGCGGCTCGCCAGCCTCGCAGCTGCCAACCTCCTTGGCCAGCGCCACGTGGAACAGCGGCAGCAGCTGCTCTGGATGACGGAACAAGAGCGTCCCCAAGTGCGCGTTGAAGTCCAGCAGGCGCTGCGCACACACGCGCTGACTGAAGGCCAGAGGACTCGACTCGGCCGCTGCTTTGTCGACGGCAGAGGGCGCAGAGACATGGCGCAGACGCCGACGCAGCAGCTGGAGGTCAGCGCGGTAGTGGCGCCGCAGGAAACGGGCGAACGCCGCTTGGTACTGGGGCGCTAGACGCTCAAAGCGAGCACCTGTGGCCTCGTCGTCATCGTGGTCGTGGTCGTGGTTGTGGTTGAAGTGGTGGTCAATCGTGACGGAGCTGTTGGTGGGCGACATGGGGTCTGTCTGATAGGGAATAAGGGGGCGTTTAATTACAGCGAATGGACACGTTAGAGCTGAAACCTCTATTCGAGCTGCGGGTCAACGACAGCTCGGCGGCGTGTGGATTCAATTAGAGCAGCTCTTTCATGTCCTCTATAAAAGCGTCATACTCTTTCGACATGGAGCTACTCGCGGAGGTGGTGGTGGTGGTTGTCGCACATCTCGAAACTGAAGGAGCAACGTCCACTGATCGAGCAGGTCGAAGCACAGAAGTGCGAGGTGCAGGAACTGAGCTACGTCGAGTAATGACGGAAGGGACACTGCCGGCTATTGCAGCGCGGCTCGGGGTGACAGGAACTTGTCGATGCACTCGAAGAGCCACTGGAACGAGCGAACAGAGTTGCGCCCGTCTTCCCGCTGCGTCTTCGTCCATCACTTGATCGTCTTCCACTCGACAGTCGTCGATGGTGTGCGCCTCAGTTGTTGAATAGGGAGCAACTACGTTGTTGTCTTCGTCCGTGACAGCTACTCCTTGACGATTGCCATCGACAGCTGCAACTGTTACCATGGGGTTCGAAGGTGACAACACCTCCTGATGCGTCTGTTGTATCAACGATGAAGCCGGCAGCGACATCGTTGCAGTAGGTTGCACGTGAGCAGGTGGCGGAGGAGGCGGACGCACCGGAATCACTCCACTCGGTAACGGCGGTCGACAAGGCACCTGAATCGTCCCTGGTGGCGGGGGATCCAACGGCAGCGGTGGTCGCTTTCCAGGCCGTTTCACCATCCCACGCGGCTGCTGCATTGTTGCAAATGGAGGCTCTTGTATTCGTCGCTCGATTCTGGGTAGCAGCAGTCGATGCTGAAATCTATGCTGCGATGGACGTTCCAGATGTCGATGCTGGCTAGGCTGCCCGTGGCAAGGGCTCCTAGGTAATCCCATTGGACCGGAGGGTTGTTGCCCTTGGCGGTACAGTTGCGGCTTTCCTGGCGGTGGCGCTCCAAACGGATTCAGCGTCGGGTGGTAGTAGATCGAGTCCTGCAGCATCAACATCAACGTCGTCAGTGTTAGAATCAGCCCTCGCCCACCATCGACTTCCCTTCGCACCTCTGGGTTCTCAAACTTCTCTCTGTTCCTCTGCATCAACTCCGTCAAACTCTAAGCACCAGTAGCAGTCAATGTCTGTTTGTCTTTTCTCCAGATCTTTCTTGCACGATCATGACCACTCACCATTGGCGACGGAAGCGACGCGTCTGTCAACTTCTTCCTGCGCTCTTCCTCCTCCTCCATCTACAGGCAACAGAAACAATCCATCAGAGCTGTCAGCTACCCACCCACACCACCACATTTGCAGCCATCTCTTCACCTCTTTCTGCCTCTTTACGACCGCTCGCAGCGTGTCTTCCAGCTCCTGTTTGCGCTTGCGGCTGGGCCCGTCCGTTGAGGTTTTCACAGCCATTTGGCGCTCCAGGAGCTTGAGCTGCTCCTCCAGCGCCACTCGATCCATCGACTGCAGCTTCTCCTTCTTCTCCTTCTGTCGCTCTGCTCGGTGCTTCTTCACCTCCTTCTTCTTCTGCTCCCGGCGATACGTCTCCATCGGGTTCAACGTCGTCTTGACCATCGTCGAGCTGTGAGAGAGAGACGAAGGAATAATGACGAGGTTATGGACCAATGAGAATAGCGCGTGTCGACGACCAGAGAGGTGACAGGGACGTAGCCATGCCGATGTCCTCTGTAGCCATGTGAGTACGAATGGGGCGAATAGATCAGGTGCATCAGCAGTTGTACACGATTATCGCAACCTCAATGCATCTAGTGGATCAGACAACGCATGTTGACATGGTCGAACCTGAACACCAACTTGCAGACGGTTGAGAAAAGTCCACAGACTGCCGTGCCATATGAAACAGCAAAACTTGCACCAGCACATACATCGAAAGACCTGCCACCTGATGGTCTTCATGACACCGGCACCTTCGCCTGCATAGGAATCTTAGGCTCGCGCACAGCTTTCAGAGAGTGCAAAAAAGCGATTGCACTGCTTTAAACACCCTGTGAAGTCTTCGCAAGTACCGGCCACGCAAATGATCGAAGCTTCGTCTCCTGAATCCAAGACTACTTCTAGGACTGCAACTTCTCTAGTGGTGCCTTTGATGCCACGCATTGTGCGCTTTGTAGTAGCCCCTTCTCGATAAGCGCGAGTGGCGAGGATTCGGGGTTGCAACACACATACAATGCTAGTGAAGCCATGACGCCTTAACCAGAGAAGATAGAAATGCACCACCTCATCGCAAGTCGCACATTGCAGTGCGGAGTGAAGGAGCTGTTTAACTTCGACGCTTGTTGCCACCAGTGTTGGCCAGGTAAATGATTAGCATTCGCTCAACAAGTGCGACAGATGAAGTTCATCTCCATCCGAGATGAAGTCGTGAACACCAAAACTTCGATCGGTTGTATGGACTTGATACTTTCACCAACGAGCGAACATGGGAGTTTCTCCGCTGTCTTTGGAAAGCGCACTGTACTCAACGCATCAGCTCTACACTCGGTAGTGAATTACTCGTTACGTATCCGGTTGAAGCCAACGCCAATGGAAGTGCAGACAAGTTACGAGACAAGTTTACGTGGGTGGTCATCAGACAAGCTAGAATTCGCGTTTACGTCCACTGCCACGAAATCTCACAGTCATGAGTGGTCAGTCACGAGTACGCGGTCCGACGCACTTCAGCTAAGTTCGTACGTACTCGAATGGGACCTACCGCAGCAGCATCTGTGTAATGCGTGATAATGATATCAGAACCAGGACGATAAATGGTTGGAAGGTTGACGGTCAGCTCTGGCGCGCGGCTTACTCGGCTTCGTGTCCACTTTCACTGCCTCTCTTGAAGTCACTGCTGAAACAGGCGGTGCCGTCGGTAGCGGCAAAGCTTGTGCCCCCGGATGGACGTGGCCAGACACTTGATACTTGCACATTACACACTCGGCAACACGCGGGGCTACGACGATCGCTTCAGTGCTTCTGCTTGTCTCCTCCCCTGGATGAATGTGGCCGCGAACATTAAACTTGCACAATGCACACTCGGATACGCTTGGTGCTACGTCGACAGCCTCGGAAATAATAGCAGCTTCACTAGCGTTTTCCTCGAGTACAATTGCACCCACTGTACCGCTATAGCTTTCCTCGCCTTCCGTCGAATCCTCAGAAAGCGGAGAAAGTTTCGGTACCGCTAATCGGCGCTGCAGGGTCTTATTACGTCGCAAACCACGAGGCGGAGTGTCAGTACTTACGGCATCTGATTTACCGAGAGCAGCAGCAGCCAGACGGGCCCGCTGCACATGTTCTCGACCACGTTCGTCCATTCCTTCTTTGTCCTCGTCAATGTCATCCAAAACGGCCACAGTCACACGGCGAGAAATGCCATATTTCCTTCGCTCTTTTGGTACATTAATCGCTTCACTTTCCGCTCCAGTTTCTGACGTAACTTCTTCGTGTGTTTTTTCGCTGTGAGTTGCAGCGGCATGATCCTCGTCGATCTGCTCCTTGTAATTGTCAGCATTGCTCCGGAATCCTTGAGCGAAGAGGTACCTCAGTGCACGTTTCTGGACATTGATGACAGGACGCAACTTCAATGTGCTCTCAAATAACAGCCCAGATGTCGTGCCATCTACACGGAAGTCTCGCAGCATGTCCCTGCCGTTGCTTTCGCACGTTTTCCCTGGGATGGCATGCGTTTCAACAAACGGAGGCTTGTGAGAGCACAAGCGCAGCCACTCGTGCAACATCAAGGCGTACTTCCTGGGCTCTAGATGAGTCAGTGGACTTGCGTGCACGTCAACGTTTTCATCTTCAGCGATCGATTGGATGCTGACGCTACTACTATCAGAAGGGCTGGTACTGCAATGAACTTGGCAGCTGCTCTCAACCGACGACGTTGACGGTGACGAACGGTTGTGGTGCCACCCTCGCTTCGGTGGCTCGGTCAATTCGAACAGTAACGGCGGATTCACCGGTTCGTACTTGTGAGTGCACGCTGAAGCATTAAAGTACGTGATCTGGCCGTTCGCACTCGCACTGCGTCCATAGCCTTCGTGCACGTGTCCAAAAACGTGCAGCTTCGGACGAACTCGCTGCTCTACTTCATGTAGCAGATCTACGCAGCCCACGCGAGTACAGCCCACGAGGTCCCCGTGGCCTTGAGGTGGCGTGTGGGTGATCAGCACATCTGTGTCCGTCGGAATGAGTTTCCATTGACGGAGCAGCGCGTCACCACGAGGTAAATTAAACGCCCAATTGCAGAACTCGGGCTGCCACGGCGTGCTACACGCAGCAGGAAGAAGACAAGAGATCGTCAAGTACCATTAATGACTCGGTGTATGTCAGTGCGCTACAAACGACTGAATCCATACCAAGTCAGTACCCGTAAAAGACGTAACCCTCAATCTCCACTGCCTCGTCTTCCAGGTACAGCGCGTTGGTCAGCAGCGCCCGCACCTCTTCTGGGTCGTACTGCTGCTCATGGCCATAGTGATGCCAATAGGAAGCATAGAAGTGACGGTCGAACGACGACTCGTGGTTCCCAGCGATCACGAGCTTGTACCGATGGGGTAACCGTCCCAAGAACTCGTTGAACGCCAGCACCTCGCTGCGCGCGCCCGTGTCGGTGAAGTCGCCCGCGTGCACGAACACGTCACCGTCTGGGACGGCCGCAGCTAAGTCGTGCAGTCCGTGCGTGTCGGACACGCACACGACCTTCATGAGCAGCTGCAGCCGAAGGCGAGACCAGGTAGGAGGCGATCAAGTTTCGCAGGGAGCTGCTCAGCGCGTGGGGTCTAGGGATACAGGGGAGGGGGTACACTTTACCTACTCTCTTGGCCGGCCATCCAAAATCAAACGTACCCACCTCCGTATACCCCATCTCACATCTGTTCGTCCCGTCATATCCCGTCATATCCCATTCGTTGGCCATGACGGCCGAAGTGCTGACCGACGAGCGCAAGCGCATCTTGCAGACCCGTCGCACCGTGCGCAAAGCAAAGAAGACTAAAGCCAAGCATGCGAAGCTTGCAAAGCAGCAGGCGAGACGCGAGAAGAAAGCCGAGATCGTGGCCAGGGTGCGCGCCAAGCGCGAGGAGGCGCAGAACGCCGCCGGCCAAGCCAATGAGAGCGGCTGTTGGCTCTGCGGCGAGACGACGCACCGCAAGCAGAGCTGTCCCAATCGAGCTGCTGGAGACCTCAATCGGACGTGCTTTCAGTGCCGCCGACGCGGCCACACGGCGCACAATTGTCCGCAGAAGAGCGCTGGCATTGGCAGTGGGGATCATGGTTTAACTAGTATCTCCCAGCAGCAACAGGCAGCCGTGTGTTTCAACTGCGGTGCTACCGATCATGCACTACGCAACTGCTCCAAGCCTATGGAGAATGGCGGGGCCGCTTTTGCCACGTGCTTTGTGTGCGGTCAGCAAGGCCATCTCAGCAGCAAGTGCCCAAAGAATACCATGGGCGTGTACCCAAAAGGAGGCTGCTGCAAACTGTGCAAGAGCGTCGACCATCTTGTGCGCGACTGTCCAGTTGGCACCATCTCTGCCACTGGCAGCACGCAGCTGAAAAAGAACAAGAAAATCACGTTTACAGATGACGATGTGGACGTTATGGCTCGAGATGGGTCCGACGCGACGGGCGATGCGCTCGACTCGTGTCGACCTGAAGGCATGGAAGGAGACGACGACGATGACGACGACAATGACGACAAGAAGCGCGGTGTACACCGGCCGAGCTCGAGTGGAAACAATCCCAAGCGAGTCAAATTCTAGACGCCTCCAGTTCAAAAGCTTTTATTTGAGTGCATAAATACCACGGACCGTTCAGTCTTCACTGCCGTGGACTTTCAGTTCTCCGTCTGCTCGCTTCCTTGCACGCTCTCCTTCTTGAGTCCCTTTAGATCAATATTGTTCTCACGCAGCAACGCGTGGAACTCATCGTCGTACTTGTCGGTCGTTTCGTTGGCCACCCGAGGCCCGTGATCAGGGTACTTGTCCTGGTAGCGTCGCAGCATCGTCATGTGCAGCTCGTTCCAGCTCACTTCGTCTTGTGCTTGTTCGTCCTGAGCCTTCTTTTCCTTCAGCTCCTGCTCCACCTTGCGTAGCCCGTCAAAAAGCGCCTTGGCCGCGTTCTTCTGCTTCCGCTGCTGCTGCTGCTTCGGCTTCTGGCTGTCCATTGGCACGAGACGATTCCCACTCGTCACCAGCTCTTTGATTTCTTCTTCCTCCTCCTTTTCCTCTTCTTCTTCTTCTTCTTCTTCCTCTTCAGAGCTCTCGACTGTCAGTTCCGGGGTTAAAACGGGTCGAAGTGGCTGACGCTCTGGCGCTTCCACGTCGTTGCCCAGCTGCCGGTTGAACCAACGCGCTCCCATGAACAGCAACAGAAGCGCCACGTAGTACTTGATCACAGGAGCCAAGACGTTGATAAAGTCCCATGGCGACTGCGGTACCGGCGGCAGCTCCAGCGTCACGTTCATTGCCTCGTCCATCTCTTCTCTTGAGGTTGTAATGGACAAGTTGGCGATCGTTCGTGCGAGGTACCAGATTTCAGGTACGACTTTGTCTTGTTGACGTGGAACGACAACACAGCTGGACTTGTCGATACATAATTTGATTCGTCGTTAAAGTCGAGATTCTGCAACTTAAGCTTTCTGTGCGCTCAAAGAAAAGCTTGCTGTAGTTCAACTGTCCTCCCTCTGATAACTTCTATCTTCATGACCGATATCATCCGCTAACTTATAGAATCTGTGCGACGGGGTTACACGCAAGTTATTGCATTGGTTGTGTTATGTGTCCACACCAAGTAAAGATCGGTTGATCTGAGTGGTACAGTCTTGGTATCAATACTCGCGGTAATACTGCACCTTATCGGGTAGAAAGAAGAGATAAGACTTCTGTCATAGGGTCACGATGTAGAAGTCAGTCAGACAAGATTTGAAGGTTTTATCACCGTTGTTCAAGAATCAATATAGTTCAGTTCCCCTTTCGAATCGTTAGACACAAGTGCCTTCTAAAGGCGTGGTGTTGTTCAAAGCATCAGACTTGTCAAGGCGCTTTCCCTTGTTCAACTACTGGTCTCTTGTAAGCGTGTGATTCTGTGAATCGTAATCGATTTGGGACCAGGATTGTTAAGTTTATAGCTTGAACGACTGTACGTCGTCATTAGTTGTTATAGCTAGAGACTCTTTTAGTCTAAGACTTCCTCTGGTAAGGAGCGCTATAGCTCCGCTACAATTTGACTATCACCATGGTCGTTCTATGATTGCTTTCTAAAACGTTTACCACACCAAAAAATCCACCCACCACTATTTATTACTATTGTTCATTTGATTACCACCTATTAATTGGCAAAAATGAGAAAATCACTGTCATCAAAAGTAATTTACTATCCCGTCTACATAAAATGATCTGAAACCTAAATTCTCACGCACTGTTTCTGTAACGGGGCACCCTGAAGCTTGTACTGGTGACAGTACAAGCTACTTATTCTGATGACAGAATAAGGCGGTGCCTCGTAACTTCACGTACACTCGTACGTGCAGAGGAAGACGGTAAGAAGAAGCGAGTACTTGGTTAAAGTAAAAAGTAGAACTGTATTTATAATAGTTAATGTCTGCAATAAATCACTATTTATCTTCATCTAACTATGTCTAAATACAAATGTGTAAATCAGTTATCTGCTCACCACTCATTGCGTGCGTCTGTCGTGGCGCGTCTTCGTTGGTTGATATAATGGCCTATATCAACCAATTAGGAACTACTTGGAAGTGCTACCGAATATTGTCCTTATGACAATATTCTGAGAATATAACTCTTATAGTTATATTCTATTAACAATTTCTTATAAATTGTTATGTAACGATTCACCCCGTTACATCACCCCCCCCTTAACCATCAGTCACTTTAGTGACTGATTGACTAAATGGATACTCGTCCCAAATCATTTGGGACGGGGTTTGCACTTGTTGGTCCGCGTCCACTTTCCAACATCTCATCGCATGGTAAACAAGCCCATGCGATGCGCGAGCAAGGCCGCCGAGAGCGCGTCTGCACGTCTCTGTGCGGACGCCGAAGCAGAGACAACAGCAACTGATGTCCCATCGGTTGCTGAAGAGACCCAGCCTGTGTCACTTGGTGACGCAGGCGCTGGTCATGAAGACACTCGTGTCTTCACAGAGTACGAGCTCGGTGTCTCGTACTCTCCTGATACGGATGACGGATCCGTATCGACGGCAATTGAATCCAAGCCGCCTGCCAAGCGTGGCATGGACGATGCTTTGCGTCGCAGCATCTTTGGTTCATCTGACGAATCAGATGAACCATCGCCGAAGCGAAGGCGCTCGAGGTCGCGAGACTCGGGCGCTAATAGTGGTGTCGGTTCTCCAATGGACACCACTTCGCAGCGAGGTGCCAGTACTTCTGTCGGCACGTCGCAGGAAGAGCGGGACCGCAATGTGTTGCGTCTCGCTCCAGAAAAGAAGGCATGGATGCCTCCTAAATCCGTCATGGATCACTTGTCGGCGACGACGAGTGATCGTTATCGAACACGATTGTTCGATTCGTCAAGGATTCATCACCTTGACCCCAGCGCGAAAGACTATCGCGCTGAACATGAGTTCTTCATCGATGCTTTCTTCAGACATCGATGGTACAGTGGGAATCACAAACGTGATGGTCCCTCACTACTTCAGGCGTGGAACGCCTACATCCATAATCTCGAGGATGTAGGTCGTGACGCTTGGAACGACAAACTTATCAAAGCTCGTGATAAGTTTGAAAAGCGAACCCCGACAGGTGCACGCTACAAGCTGCATCGTCTGTCAAGGGAGAAAGGATTACCCTGCCTCTCTCTTGGGGAGACTCGTGCCCATGTTGTGTGAACAACTCTGCACGAGCACCTAAGGAGGCTTACCTCCTTACCAGCCCGTGGTGGCGCGTACGTGTCTCTACTGAGATGTACGAAGGGATTGACAACCTGAAATCCCTTTACGACCGTGCCGGGAAGACTTTCTCCGGCGGTCCTTCTGCGGCACAGGATGTGTCGCGTCGTACTGCTCGACCAGACCCAGTACGTCAACCATCAATTGGGAGCGGAGCTCCCAAGAATCCCAGGACGGGGGATAGCCGCGCCACCGGACGAGGTAACTCGTCCGACGTCCGTTCACGTCGCGGTGGTTCAACAGCTGCTCTACTAGATAGCGCTGGCCACCGCGAGAGTCCTCTAATGGAGGTGGAGGAGGAGGAAAGACGCTCTCCACACGATCATGTGGATCGGTGTGTTCCCGAGAGCTTCTTTGATCGCGTAACGCAAGGGTTACGCGACGATCTCGAGCATGAGCGGAATAGGCGTCTCCAGATGGTGGACACTGCCTCGAAGCATCGAGCTGAGTTTGCCTTTGCTCAGCTTGAGAACGAGAGATCTCTGACATCTCTTCGTGACGAGCTAAGGGTAGCTCGTGGGATTGCTGATCGGTCTCGGGATGAGATAGCTGCTCTTCAGACCCTTGTTGATGCCCACCATCGGGAGCACAAGGCTCTCTGCGAGATGCTTGAGCGCAAGGGCGTTCTTCATCGGAAGAAGCAGCGTACTGATGGTACGGCTTAAGCCGACCAACGTAAAACGTGGGATGCGTTCGCATCTTACGTGGTAACTCGATCGTGTATGCATTGCCTAAGCGGTGCAATACACGAAATGGGCCAATGTACTTGGGTAGTAGTTTACTGCTACCCAAGTTAGTCACTATATGCTTTGGTAGATTAACCGTAGACAGTAGGACTAAGTCACCTTTATTAAATAAAAGAGTGTTTGCCCTTCCATTCTTGTCAGCGTTTTGCTTTTGCTTATCCACCGCTTCGGCGATGGAGTCTTGCACAAAACGGACTACCGTTTCACGAGCCAGTATGAACTCATCTGATGACTCGTTAGCTTCAGTGTGCTGTGAGCGCACTGCAGCGACAACAACCTTTTCTTCAGTGAGGGCTTCCGCACTCTCACTGGGATCATTGTCTTCAGTGAGGGCTTCCGCACTCTCACTGGCATCATCTTCTTCGATATTGATGTTATCGATATCGGCATCAAACGCAATGACTTCTTCGTCAGAGCGTGATGAGCGTGAACCAAATCGGTTTTTGCTCGCGCGAGTCCCTCCCCCCCTTAAACCAGAGTTACACTCTAGTAAGGTGGGTACACGCGGATGGCGCAAGCCATTCACGTAAAACGGTGTATGTGTCGTGGACGCATGCACCGAGTTGTTGATGGCAAACTCTACCATCGGCAAGAACTCACTCCAACTCTAAAGGAGTGTACGTATCCTCGAAGTATCTCTTCAAGGACACGATTGGCACGTTCCGTCTGACCATCTGACTCTGGATGATCAGATGTTGACATCTTCAAGCGCGTTCCGAGTGATTTGAACACGGAACGCCAGAAATCAGCAGTGAATCGTGGATCTCTGTCTGATACGAGTTCACGGGGCAACCCATGAAGTCGGAAGATGGTGTCAATAAAGACACAAGCACAGCCACTTGCCGTGATTGTCTCTGGTACAGCCACAAGGTGTACCATTTTGCTGAATCTGTCAACAAATACGAGAATACCCGTATTCCCGCGTGCGTCTTTGGGTAACCCGAAGACGAAATCCATTGAGATGGATTCCCAGCACTCAGCCGGAACCGGTAGAGGCTGTAAAGGTGCACGCAGTGAAGGACTTGACTTCACTCGTTGGCAGACTTCGCATGCGCGAACATACTTTCGCACAAACTGATACTGGCGGGGCCAGTAAAAGTCTCGACTTACCGTGAGATATGTTTTCTCTCGGCCACGATGTCCTCCTATAGGAGCATCGTGATACTCGAACATGATCCGCAAACGCAGATCAGTATCATCTGGAATGACAACACGTGGTGTGTCACCAGAAACGGCTGTATAGTACAGTAAACCGTTACGAGTAGTGTATCGATCTGATGCAGATCGATACGCAGACGACAATCGTTTCAACGATTCTCGAGATGGTTGGGAGAGATGTGACAACAACTTCACTATCTCACCATCTTGGGCGTATGCCCGCCTCACATCATCATACAACGTTGTAGATGGGACTGAGGACGTCATAACCGCAACAGTGACTGTCTCACTGTTGGGTTTCGCGACTGTTTCAAAGTCGGGACGACGTGAGAGTGCATCAGCGGCGACATTAAGTCGTCCTGGTTTGTACTCGACCGTAAAGTTGTATTCTGCAAAGAATGACAACCACCGCGCCATTCGTTGTGAAAGGTGCGGGCTGTTCACTGCCGTGCGTAAGGACGCATGGTCAGTGTAAACAACGAAGGGTCTATCTCCTAATAGATAGACTCTGAACTTCGCGAGTGCATACTTCATAGCAAGGAGTTCCTTGTCATGCACTGGATAGTTCCGCTCAGCTGGTTGCAGCTGACGCGACTGATAGCAGACGACGCGTTCAACGCCTTCAAGGTCGTACTGCATTAATGCACAGCCGATTGCGAAATCGCTGGCATCACAGACCACATGAAATGGCCTGTCCTGATCGGCTATTGCTAGGACTGGGGATTGTATCAAGCTCTGCTTGATACCCTCAAAGGAGCGTTGACATTCAGCGTTCCATAACCACCTCTCGTTCTTTTTCAACAAACGAGAGAGGTGTACAGTCATCTCGGCGTAATTGCGTGAATACTTATGCAAATACGCCGCTAGCCCAAGGAATTTTCGAAGACCTTTGACATCGACCGGCACGGGCCAGTCGGTGATCGCCTTGATCTTTTCGGGATCAGGACGTACACCGTTCTTACCAACGATGCACCCAAGAAGTGGTATTTCGCTTGCTGCAAATATACACTTCTTGAGGTTTGCATACAATTGATGCTTTCGCATGATTGTAAGAACTTGTCGGACGTGGTACTTGTGAACCTCAACGTCCGACTTTCCATCCATAGCTCGACTATGGATGAATACGTCATCGAAATAACTCGGCGCGAATTCTCGTACTGGCCTCAACAGATGTGATACACACCTGTTGAACGTGGCAGGGGCATTACTGAGCCCTTGTGGCATTACTAGCCATTCCCAGAGCATGCCGCTAGGCGTGCTAACTGCGGTATAGGGTATATCCCGTTCCCGCATTAGGATTTGATAGAAGCCATCCATCAAATCCATGGACGAAAAGATGGTACTCTTTGACATACCATCAATGATTACGTCCTTCCTCGGTATCGGCGTCTGAGCCGGTACCGTTGCAGCGTTCAATTTGTTAAACGCGTGCACTATCCGCCACCCTCCTGTTGCTTTTCGCACACAGAAGGTCGGAGAGCTATGTGGGGAAGTTGATTCCCTCACATGGCCCGCTGCTAAACGATCGGCAAAGAACTTGTCGATCGCAAGTACTTGTTCACGAGGCAGTGGCCACTGCTTCATGACACAGTACTTCGAGCCTGGTTTAAGCTCGACTTCGTGTCGAATACCTTTATCCTTCGGTAATTCGCACGGAACAGTTTCAGGGAACACATCCTTGAATTCAACCAAATCTTCATAGAGAGGATTTTCCTTGAGCGATTCCCATGATTGGGACTCATATCGCTCAATTCGTGTCTTTTCATCTAGGACACTCTCGTCCATAGATGAACTACTGAGAACTCTCTCGTTCTCAGTAAACACTGTTGCTGACCTTATGTCGGTTACATACTCGTCTTCAGCGACGAGTATGCAGATCTGCTTGACTTTGCCACTACGCAGATCACGCAAGAATCTTTTATGTTCGAGCGTTGGCAACTGAGTGATCTCCGAAGTTAACTTCGGAGGCGCAATCAGATCAAGTGTATAAGCGCCTACACATGATCCGTTATTGACTATGACATTCAATGTCTCTGTCATTTCCTGGGGACTTATTCCCTCAGGCTTCGAAGGACTTATTCCTTCGTCTTCCCGGGGACTTATTCCCGCGGGTTTCGGGGAACTTATTTCCGCCGTATTTGTAATCTTGGGACTTATTCCCTTTACTTCCTCTAGCTGGGGTTGCGCAACCACAGCGAGATCCTCTACGAAAGACTATCCAGTCGATCTAGGATTATCGTTTCGCTTAACCTGAGCGATCGATTGTTTCTCTTCTAGATGTTCCCCTCTAGGGATACATCTTTGTCCCAGTCCACCCGACTTATTCGAGTGGTGGACCTTCGGCGCAGCCTGTGTTTCCTCACAGCCGCCGGAACTTTGCTCCGAAGTGTAACCGTTTGGTACACTAAGGTTTTGTGCAGTCGTACTAACGACCGTACCACAAGTGAGGCCATCGCACTCACTCGTAGTACATCCACACGCTTGTGGACGCTCCAAAACGTTCATCAGATGGCCATCTGATGAACAAGCGGCAGGCATCGTTACTGTCCGATGTTGCCAGTTTACCCGTGGTTCGTACCTTCTGAGCCACGGTATTCCAAGGATGACATCAAATTTGTCATCCAAATCCAATACGATAAAGTCATCGTCGTATTGGGTATCTTCTAGCGTATAGTGAATCTTCACTATACGCTTCATGACGGTTACGGATGCGCCTGTCGCAAGACGTACCGTCATCCTCGTAGGAGGTGTGTCACATTCACTGAATTTAAAGTGACCATCTTCTAGCGATTGGCGTCACACAAAATTGTTGGACGCCCCACAATCGACTAGAGCTCGAAGGGACAACTTATTCGTCACTTCGAGTTTCAAGGTAATGAGTGAGATCTCATTACCTAGAGCAGCAACGCACAATGTCTGTGTGTTGGGAGCAACCTTCATCAAGAGGCCTACAAATTCTCTTGACGTTGCTGGATCAGTAGGGTGCTCCGCACCTACTGATCCTGTCCGTTTTTTGACGGTCCATCCCGTTGTTGCGTCTTTGCACCAACTGCGGACCCTCGTCCCTGCCCCTTTCTCATGGGTGGACGGTCACTACGCCCAGTGTCGCGAGACACTGGACGAGGGGCACTACACTCGTAAGCGTAGTGTCCTGTCTTCTGACATCTGTTGCATCTCTGCAACTTCTTGTAGCCTGTAGAGCGAACCTTCTCGCTCTCTACATAACAGAGTTCCATCGGCTCTGGACCTCCGTTGTCATATCGTCTCGGTTGACGATATGATGTCGAGCTGGCGCGAGCCTGTCTCAGACTGAAGTCTTCCTGCTCCGCAATGGAAATGGCTTGTTCTAGTGAATCTAGTTCAAGCCGGAACAGGTGAGTCTTGACGGGACCATCCGCAAGACCCTGCATGAACACCGAAACCAACGTGTGTTCATCCACTGGATTGGAACTTATACAACTCGTAAGATGTCGTATGTGTTGAGCGTAAGCGTGCACATCACGCTTACCCTGTTTGAGCTTCAAGAGTTCGGTTCGAGCCCTGAACTCAGCTCTAGGCGGTTCAAACGTTTGTCTGAGCCGCGACTTGAAGACTTCCAACGACCCAAACGCGTATGGGTCGTGCAGCTTGAGCCCCAGTGCCCAAGTCTTGGCACGTCCTGCCAGATTTGACTGGGCAAATGCAACTTGCATATCCCCGTCGTCGATGCGACGCGCCCTTATGGCGTCATCCAATTCGACGAACCATCTCAAGAGGGAGTC